TTTCGATTCGTGTACGTACAGCGAAAGCGCAAGGGAGATGGAAACAGTGCGGGATCCTGGTATCGTAAGCGCTGTACGTGCTATGACATGTTATACTCAAGAAGATTCCAGTCATATGGCAATGGCGGGGTGGAATTACCCTAAGGATCCAATTCTACATGCTGCCGATCATTCATTCAACATACAGATGCCTCTTAAGCATGTTTTCAACATTTTCAATGATTATCCTATGATTACGTGTGGTCGTCAAACAATAAGACTAGTTCGAGCTCGAAATGACAACGATTGCATAATTGTCAAAGAAAAAACTCCAGGTCATGTTACAACTGTTAAGATTAACATTACCAATATTGAGCTTAGAGTCAAGCACATATTTCCCAATGATGATATTAAATTGGAACTTATGAAATCCATTCAACAAGATCAACCTATAGTTATTCCTTTTAGAAAGTGGGAATTGCATGAATTACCAGCACTTACCAAAGGCGCTAGACGTGAAGTTTGGGCTGTAAAAACTAGCAATGCAGTGGAAAGACCTCGTTATGTCATTGTTTTCTTTCAAACCAATAAACGTGACAAAAGCGACGCCGATCCCACCTTATTTGACAATATCCACATACAAAGTATCAGATTATCTTTAAATGGAGAATATTGGCCGAACGAGAGAATGCAGTTGGATTTTAGCAAAACTGACTACAATGAGGCCTATTTCAATTATACTGAATTCTATCCTAGCTACATACATTCTCAACAAAAGCGTCCTCTGCTCGATTTCTCAGGTTTCGCACAACACACATTGTTCGTCATCGATTGTTCGAAGCAAGAAGAAAGCATGAAAGCATCCACTGTTGACGTAAAACTCGATATTGAAGCGAATAATGGTTTTCCCGAAAATACCAAGGCTTATTGCATTATAATTCACGATTGTGTAATGGAGTACTTCCCTCTCTCTGAAATTGTAAAAAGTCTAAATTAGATGCATAAATTGCCAGTAGTACGCGAGCAGTCATCATGAGAGTAGCATTCGTAGACATTCAGGGATTCAATGTGGACGGATGGTTTGTTCCCAAAGAACTTACCATTGAAATAGGTTTTAAACGAAGTCATTACATATTTTTACCTCAGAAACCTTTTACTGCGCTCAGTAGTGAGGATAAGAAGACTGCATCATACGTGGAGAAAAAACTGCTTGGAATTCGATACTCTGATGGACACGTAGAATTGTCCAAAATCAATGAAATATTAGAATCCAAGTTGTTGTATGCAGCAGATTACATCTACGTTAGAGGAGAACAAAAAGCAGAATATTTGGATAAGAAACGTCACGTTTTTGGAGTTTTTCCCATTATTATTGATGTTTGCAAGTTTGATGGTACACCTCATGCTACTGGAAACGTTGGCCCTACTGCAAACCCATGTCATGCCTCTGGATTATTTTCATGCACCGAAAGAAATGTGGATCGTCTACGTCACTGGTTTGCCAATAACATAATGCCATTGTAATTTTATGTATAAATAAATAAATATATTAGAAATTAAACGCTTTTTTATTTATCACATCTTTATTGATCGAGTCTTATATTACAAGAAGATTCAAATTTTCTCCTTACAATTTCGAAAATAATTTTTAAAATTAGAATAAATACAGATGCTAATATTACACAAGACATTGCAAAGACATTGTCTATTTCACTTTTCATATGCTCGCTGGTGTTGTTGCTAACGTCCATGGTATTGGTTGAATACGTCTCAATGGATATGAAGCTGGTGGCAGTTTTCTGCAGGCGTAAATCCAGGTGTCTTGCTGTTGCTGCTGCTGCTGCTGTAGATTCAACTCTTTTGGTTTCCACGTTTTTTCCTCAATATGCAGGCTATCTAATTGTCTTTTAATTTGTTTTATATTCTCATATGATTTAATGTCTCTATTTAACTGATCAAGTTTACGTTGAAATTCCATAACCCTATGTATGTACTCGATGGAATTCATAGTACTACTGAATATGTCCTATGTTGAATGTCACGTTTTATGTCAAGCGATGTCTTGACTGACACATAACTGTTACGTCAAAACGTCTCACGTCACGTAATTCCTACATTTCACGTTCTGCGACAAATGTCACATATATGTCACGTCCTGCGTCGAATGTCACGTTATTCACGCAACATTTTCACGTTCTGCGTCGAATGTCACGTCATTTCACGTTCTGCGTCAAATGTCACATAAATGTCATGTCCTGCGTCGAATGTCACATAAATGTCACGTCCTGCGTCGAATGTCACGTCAATTCACGTGTCATTGTACGTTCTATGTCAAATGTCACATAAATGTCACGTCCTGCGTCAAATGTCACGTCCTACGTCGAATGTCACATCATTTCACGTGACATTTCACGTCCTGCGTCGAATGTCACGTTCTGTGACAAATGTCACGTCCTGCGTCGAATGTCACGTGACATCCAACGCTTTGACACCTCATACGTCACAATCCGACCAATAGCAACGAAGATACGTTTTAACGCCCATTTGGCAACGCCGCCATCTTTGTTTTTTGTCTCTTCGCCTTCTCCCCGTTCCAACGAGCCCTCGTACGTCACGATCGGACCAATAGAAACGAAGATACCCCATAATGACCTTTTGGCATGCTCCGATGCGCACGGCACATACTGCATTCAACCCCATTTTTCATCCCCTTTCCAACGAGCCCTCGTACGTCATCCTACGTTAAGCCGTTTGGAACTTACGACCGGGGGTTGCGATTTTAGGGGTTGCAATTTAGGGGTTGGTCTCAAAGCCTCCTAGTATATCTACTCACGACGGCCATCCTTAATTAGCTGACGAACCGCATCAATTTTCATTTGGAACTTAAAATGTTATATATATATATATATATATATATATATATATATATATATATATATATATATATATATATACCATTTTTCAAAGTAAAACACTTGCACGTCACGATTTATACAAAGTGACTTCACTTGTATTTAAAATTTCCAGAACATCAACCTTAGAATTCAAATTTTCCTAACACAGCTAATAATACGAAACCCATACGGAACTGCTCTATCTTTCATAGGCGTCAACATGGTGTAATAATTAGAAAAATGTAATTATCATTATATTGAAAATTTTAGAATTATATTGATTAAATTACCAAAAACATTTGTTATTATTAATAATTTAAATTTTATGAAATAACTCTTTAAGTCTAATATTCCACAGAATAATAATTTTAATTAAATATATTAGACAATTGCACGCAACTGATACGGAGATACTTCAAATTTTATTGACAGTTCAGCGTCAGTCAGTGTGTGGCAAAAGTGTACAAAGTATTGCCGCTTTTTTAGAGTAGGAATGTTGTTATGTTTTGTTTTCTTACACAATGTGATCATAATATATAATAAATAAATTGTATTATTTATAAATACTTATTAAATTTAGATTAATAGCTTCAAAAACTAATTATTGTTGTGTATTGTGATTGTGATATTTCAAAACAAATAAATGGTCTGTAGAAAGCTGATAAGCTTTCATAAAAGATAGGTTATTTTGAACAAGAAATAATGGCGGGACGTTTTTACTATTAAAGTCCTAAAAGAGGTAAGTTTAAAATTTAGAATATATAATATTGTATTAAAATGTTTTTTTTATGTATTTTAATGGGTTGCAGTAGTCTTAAAACTAAGTTTATTTACTGTTAATATAATAGTTTGATAAATAGTTGACATTTTAAAAATTCCTCACTAACTATTCTGATGTTTTGGCAACGCTGTGGGGTTCTGACGACGTAAATATTGAATGACGTGTAAGCTTTTTTATATGAAAAATGCTATATATACCAGATTCCCAAGTCCAATACTTCATTTTTAGAGGCTAATGGCAAATTATTCATCTAATAAACAAATGTAATTGGTTTTCTTTCGCCTCGAAAATGTCATTTTATGACATTTGTTTACGTTACACGACATTTCGTTTAAACATCTAAGTTTTTCATCGTCAGAAAACATAAGGACACTACAAGATTTTTTGTATTTTTGTACTAAATCGACAGAGACAAGCAAAATAAAACAGGCCACAATAGCAGCCTTATACCATCCCTGATGGTACCGTTATTTCAATTGAGGTATCAATCTCCAAGTTAACTGTCTGAGTACAGCCAGTAATAAATTTCGAAATACACTGAAGCATGATATTCACTATATCCAAAGCTCTTAGTGTTTGTAAGAGGACCCCATGATTGACCTGAACAAATGCTTTGGAAAAGTCAGTATAGATCGTGTCAACCTGGAAACCTTGTTCAAAGCTGTTAAAATGTATTATGATTGACATACAAAACTAAATTGGCATCTGTCAACCCCCCTCTCATAAAGCCAAATTGTTCAAGATTAACAGCTTTAAAAACCTTTTCTTCCAGAGACTGGGGGAGCTAACAGTACCAACATAACATCTGATCATTCCAATTCTGAGTCTACATCAAAATTCTACATCCGGCAATAATATGGAGAAAACCAGATGTAAAAAATCTGTAACTTTAAGGTGGAAGTTATTGTGCCAATAACTAAATGGTCACACGATACCTGGCCGCTATCGATGCCCTTGGGATACTGGGTGAAATTTCATTGAATATTGGCCGTGTTCCTGTACATGGGGTTTTACGACTCTACAGCAATTGATACAAACTTTACCAAGCTCATCGTGGAAATAAATATAAACACTCACCAACACGCAAGGCAATCACAATGTTTAAATAGCAAAAACCTGACCTGGGGAAACTATCTCCACTCAAAGTGTGTCAAAAAAGATTTCATTATTAAGGAGAATATGTTTTTTAAACTCTCATATTGGTTTAAACTTCGTAGAAATGTATAATATACATATATACAAAACTCAATTCTCATACTATTTACTCATAGTGTGATATCAACTCCATACAGTCAAATATAGGGAGTATAAATACAGTTATAAAGAAATAGTACAAAATCTGGAAATTAACAGTACTTAAAATAGTTTGAATCTAAGTAATGTAAAAATAATTAAATCTTACTACAAGATGCAGAAGGATTTGATGAACCAGAGCTGATAAATAACAACTTTAAAAACATAAAAAACTAAAAGACTTACCTGATAGCTATTATTGTGGACATATCTGGCTTGGAAACGGGATCTCAAAGGAGGGTCCAAAGGATTTCCCCTGTATCTGTAAGATAACATATAAATTAAAAATAAATTTTCACTTGTAAATAGTTTTTTTTTAATTCCGAAGTGGAAATCAAAACATCAAATATAACACATTTTCTATTAAAAAATAATCATGTGAAGTTATTGCTTAAATAGTTAATTTGGAAGATACCTACTTGGGAACAGGTAGACCCAACGCAATAACTCTAAAGTTGCTGTCGACTCTAACGAGCTTCCATTTTTCTAGTTCTTTCTCACCATGTTCCTAAAAACGTATTCAATAATATATTGTCTACAAAAATATCGACATAGCTATTCACCAACTTTCAATAATTTATCATATCTAGCTGCTGGAATCAGTAATCGTCCATCCTCTAGATGCATTTCTCTATTTTCTAGTAGATTATTTAAAACAGGTAATACATTTCTTTCTGCTTTTTCAATTCCATCTAGGATTAAAATTCTTCCTTCTTTAGCAGCTTTAACAGCGCTCTGAAATAAAAACATAAACTTTCAATATATTATCAGATAAATGTTTTATAAAATAGATAAATCTAAAAAATTTACTACATGTATTATTTTTATTTAATAAAATTACGCTATCACCCTCATCTCAGCATGCATACATAACAATTTCTTAATATCATTTATAATACGAGTATAGTCCAGTCATCAGAAAGTTGATCCCTAAAAATCATACAAACAAGCTGGATTTTGGAGAGAATATTAATTTTGGGACCCCAAAAAGATGCAATCAAGTTTACCACTTTTACCCATGGGCTTCCCCCTAAAACCCCGTCATAGGAGGGTTAAAACGTGAAATAATCGATTTATCAAGAATCTGTACAGCATAGAAAAAAATGTTTCAAATAAAAAATGTAGCTGAGATGATTTTAAACAAAAATATTTATAAGAATTTTTTGTGTAGCATGAACCGTTCTCTTAGAAACAACACGTGAAGCGAACTGTCGATTTTGCATGTCAATTAGGCGCGCGAAATCAATGTTCAATAAAATTTGTATCAGCTCGACGGTAAAAATTTGATATATTTTAATTCAAGTTACCTATTGAAAAAAATCAAGATGTGTTTTAAAGGTAAAGAGTTTAGCTTTTGTATGCAGTTTTTGTATTTTGGCGTAAATAAACTCAGATTTTATCATCATCATCATCTTTGGCTCGACAATCCTCTGTGGATCTTGGCCTGCTCTAAGATTCGTCGCCATTCTGTTCGGTTTTTGGCAACATGTTGCCATCTTCTGATTTTTAATATTCGTAAGTCGGTTTCTACTCCATCTAACCACCTAATTGGCGGTCGGCCTTTACTTCTTTTTCCTACAGGTGTTCCTGTGGTTAGCTTTTTAGCAATGGTATTTTCTGGCATTCGTATTATGTGTCCAACCCATCTAAGTCGTTGTGTTTTAATGAACGTTATGACATCTGGCTCATCAAAGAGCTGATAAAATTCAAAATTATATCTTCTGCGCCACTGCCCTTGGTCGTTTACAGCTCCAAATATTTTGCGGAGTATTTTACGCTCAAATATTCCCAAAAGTCTTTCATCTTTCTGCGTTAGTGTCCATGTTTCTGCTCCATATGTGAGGACCGGCCTCAGCAATGTTTTGTATATAATAATTTTAGTTCTTCTTTGAGTGTTTCTTGAGTCGAAATGCTTTTGGAGTCCATAGTATGCCCTATTTGTAAGATTTATTCGTCTTTTGATTTCTTCGCTTGTTTTATTGGTAGCAGTCAATAGCGACCCAAGGTATGTGAAGTTGTCAACATGTCCAAAGGTATGACTTCCAAAGACTGTTTCACGTTCTTCATTTGCTATCGGATCCTTTGTAACCAACATGTACTTGGTTTTGTCTTCGTTGATGACTAGACCGACCTGTTTCGCAGCTGTTTCCAATTCTAGGAGATATTGCTCAACATCTCGCTTGCTACGCCCTACTATGTCAATGTCATCAGCATATGCTAAGACTTGTATCGATCTATTGTAAATAGTATCGCCATCCCTAATTCGTGTATCTCGGACTGACTTTTCTAAGGCAATATTAAATAGGAGGCAAGCCAGAGCATCTCCTTGTCTGAGTCCATCCTTTATCTCAAAGGATCTAGAACTCTCTCCCTGTATTCTAACAGTGGCTTCTAAGTTAGACATTGTCATTCTCGTTAGTCGGATAAGTTTCTCTGGTATACCAAACTCATGCATTGATTGGTATAGCACTGTTCTCTTGACACTGTCGTATGCGGCCTTGAAGTCAACGAATAGGTGATGGGTTTCAATATTGAATTCTAATGTTTTCTCGAGAATCTGTCTTATTGAATGAATCTGGTCAATTGTTGATTTTTCTGGAGTGAATCCAACTTGATATTTACCAACTATGCCCACTGTGTAAACTTGCAACCTTTCGTAGAGAATATCAGATTTTATATAGGTGTTAAATAAATAAATGTGGACCGATTTTTGTCATTTTTTATGATTCCCACGAGATCAATAAAATTAATCACTTTCATTGACCAGTTGTAGTAAACTTTTCGTTTTTAGAGATCAATCTTAAAACCTATGACATGAAATTTCAATTTTGAGTTACCAAATATGAGGCATCTCAAATATGAAAAAGAAACACAGAATTTAATATTTTACATTACAAACCATCACTCGTCACGGAAAATGACTTTAAAAAGACTGTTTTGGGTGTAGATTATTGAAGATGTTTTGTTCTTTTAAAAAAGATACTAGTGTTATTTGAAAAAAATAGTTTTAAATGTTTTAGATTGTTTATTGTGTGAAAGTTTAAATTAAATGTTTTTTAAGCATATTTCAAATACTTCACATTTATTGTTAAAACACATAACTAAAAGTTCATGCTATAGCTTTTAAAGGCTCTAGTAATCAAAACTTCATAGTGGCCAGTCAATGAAAGGGATAGATTGTATTGATCTCTTGAAAATCATGAAAAATGGCGCCACATTTATTTATTTAACATCTGCATAAAATCTGAGTTTATTTGTGTCAAAAAAACTGCATACAAAAGCTAAACTCTTTACCTTTAAAACACATCTAATATAACAGTTTATAATAACATCTATAAATAATATATTTATAACACATCTTTAAAACACATCATAGCTAAATGTCTTCTTCTCTGATATCTTTCAAAAGATATCGAATTTTTACCATTGAGGTGATACAAATTTTTTTGAATGGTGATTTCGCGTGCCTATCTGATATGCAAAATAGATGGTCGCTTCAAGCATTGTTTCTAAGAGAACGGTTCATTCTACACAAAAAATCCTTATAATAAACATTTTTGTTTAAAATTATCTCAGCTACATTTTTTATTTGAAATATTTCTTTCTATAGTGTAGAGATTCTGTGTAAATCGATTTTTTTACGTTTTTACTCCCCTTCAAGGAGTTTTAGGGGGAAGCCCAGGGGTAAAAGTGGTAAACTTTTTTGCATCTTTTTGGGGTCCTAAAATTGAGCAATTGAGATTCTCTGGAAAATTTAGCTTGTTCATATGATTTAGAGGTTCAGTGGCATTTTTGTCTCTGATGACAGGAGTAATACCTCTACATGCAATATTTTATACATACAAACATTTTAAATTGCACATACCTGATCAAAATAGTTAGCTGTTCCTTGAACAATTTCTCTTCTCTGCTTTAAATCAGATTCTGTAGTGTCCCTGCTGAGTGCTACATATTCATGTTCTCTGTTGGTCAGTTCTAAATACTGCATTGCTAAATGTCTTCTTCTTGGTCCTGGTGGCCCCAAAAGAAATATATCCTGATTTAAAAGGTCTTTCTGTAGAATCCATTTTAAATGGTGTAAACTGCTCTTTGGAATGTCATCATTATCTGAAACAGATATTAATATTTAGCGAAATACATGTTTTTATGGCTATATTATGTGAGCCGAATAATAAACTTTTAATAATCAAAAACCTACATAAAATCCTACTGAAAGAAAAAGTATTGAAGAGTAAATGAAAATCATGATACAGGAAATATAAGAACACTTTGAAACCTTTTAAAATGAAGTCGGAAGAAAAGCTGGTTGGAATGTACACCTAGAACTTTGTTAAAATAATGAAAAATATTCAGTTTCATAAGTAAACTATAACTGAAAGTTAAACATAAACTTATTCAACTTACAATACTTTATTGGCACATATTCAGGACGCTCAGCATTACTAATTTCTTTTACAATATTTCCTAAACTAACACTTTCTTTAGAGCTATATTTTTTAAATACACAAGTGACATTAATGCAGTTTCTATTAATAATTGACTTGGTAACATTATGCTTCAACAGACTCAGTAACATTTTAAAAATCTTATTTCTAGACTAGATTTGAATATTGTTTTTCAAGCGTAAGTAAAACTCAATTTCAATTCTAAGGAACAAAGGTTATGTTTGCGTCATAATTGTCACTGTCAAAATCACATGGAAGAAATTTAAAAATTGGACTTTCTCCTTAGTATTTTATAAAAATATAAAGTTATGAGACATATTTCAAAGAATATAGACGCATATGCGTCTATATTCTTTGTGTATTTTTTAATATGAAATGTTTTTAGAAAATTATATTCTTCAGCTGTCACGATTGGTGATTGATTGTATTTTGTATACACAATTTAAATAAGCACGTGTCTCATTTATGAATAGTTCACTAGAATTTATTTGATTTTATCTTTCTAATCAAACCGGATGTATAATGTAAAACTAGCTTAGTAATGCTTAGTATTGGCAGTATTAGTACCGATTTGATTATATATTTATTAGCCAAACAAGATGCTAGTTTTAAAACTAGCCTTGTAACGATTAGTTTGCATAAATCTTAGACTATGGAAATTCTGAGGCACAAAGTTATAAATCAAATACGCTAAAGGAAAATATTCTCTTATGTACGATAATGAAAAAATCAAGATTGTGTGTATTTTTGAATGTATTGTAATTTTGGTTGTCTATGTAGTAGACATTTCATTTAATACGCAAATAAAATCTATAATAACTGCAAATTTACCATCCCAGCCTCCCCTACCATACATAGTGATCCTGGAGTGGAATCGTGGGGTGGGATCTTTACGAACCTTTTTTGTTAAGAATGAGCCAGTTAACCGGACAAAAAAAATTTTTAACAATTTGTTTAAAAACAATTGTTTAAACAATGTTTGGCCATTATTCTCTCGGAGAACATGCACTTTTGTTATAATAGCGCTATTTTAAGTAAGATCATCCAAAAATATTGAATGATATTTTTCCTAGCCAGCGCTCCCATACTACCCGGACTATTTTTTTTTTGGTTTGGACATATTGTCATTCAGCCAATCCCGGACTATAATATATGGCAAATTTAAACTGCGCAGCGAACCTAGAAATCCCTAGTTGTCTTGTTTTGACGTTTTGGTGTGACTTTTGGCATTTTGGCACAATATTTAACATTAAAATAATTTATACAAGGTGTATTATAGTATCATTTTATTATCAGTCAAATTCAAATAAACAAACCGTTGCGCTATATATATTAGCACAGAATACTAATCACAACAAGAAGCGAAACGGAGGGCTTTTTCGCAATCCAAATTTCTTTGCGCATGTGCGAAATCGGCCATAGTGTTAGTAGTGTTGACAAGTGTTGATGCCTTGTTTGTTTATATATTGAGAAGTGTTATTGTATTGTATTGAGAAGTTATTTAGTTATATAGTTAGTTAGTTATTTAGTTAGTTAGTTAATTTAATATATTTGTGTAATAAACTTATTGTGATGGCTGCACGAAAGGGAGGATTTTATTGTGTTGTTCGTGGGTGCCCATCGAAAACTGGGGAAGGAATTAGTCTCTTTTCAATACCGACTGATCGTAGCAGGTAAACAAATTAAATTTTAAATTCAAACGTATTACAAATGTTGTCTGGATGTTTATATTTTAGTTAAATACACTTTTTTTTAGAGCTGAATTATGGCTGAAAGCGGCCAATAGGTATGATCTGCTTTCCAAGTATGCTGAATTGTATACTAATTATAGAATGTGCGAGAAACATTTTGAACCGGTGTAAATGTACAAAGGAAACACGGAAGTATTTATTTCAACAAGCACATCCAACGATTTTCTCACACAGCCAATATTCAAAACACAGACAAACCATTAAAGAAAGTCATAAGGCTGGAAGGTAGATACTTTTTATTTATTCACAATTATAGTGCTTTATTATAAAAGTCATATAAAAATCAGTATCTACTTACAACTATATACAAAGTTGTTTGTTGTTTTTCATAATATAAACAAGATCTGGAATTGTGAAATTTAATGATCTTTTATCAGCCTTATTAAGAACATAATATATCTTATGGTTACATACTGAGTAATATTTATGTCGTGGTTTTAGGTACTACTGAAACCTATAATGTACAGGAAGTAATTAATAGTCCAACTGATAAAAACCATAATACTGTACCTGATACTTTGATGGAAGAGTTTCTGGTAACAGGTAATTTTATTTATTGCTACAACTGTATTATGCATTCAACTAATCACTAATAAGCATTAACATATCTACTTTGAACGTTTATATGTTTATGGTTATTAAATATATTTTTATATTTCAGATGTTAATAGGCAGGAAGTGTCTAGCCCACCTAGGCCCCATACTCCAGCTCCATTTTTCACAGCTGCAACACAAACCCCCTCCAAGTTGTCGGGAGGTACACCAAGAAAAAGGAAACTTAGATTGAAAATAAAAAATTGCGTGCAAGTGCAAAGAAAGCATATGCGTCTTCCAAACAGAAGGAAGACAATAAATATTTAAAATCAAATGTGTGACAAATTTTTAAACAAATCCCTAGCACAAATAGTGAAAGCTCAAGCAATTTTAAAAACTAAATGTCCAAAAAGTAGAAGGTATTCTGATGAATATAAACAATTTGCATTAACACTATATTTTTTGGGCCCAAGAGCGTATGCTTTTATGGAAAGAATATTGTATTTGCCCTCAAGACGAAGTCTTCAAAAAATTACCGAAAATTTGGTCTGTAAACCTGGTTTGAATAATGACCAAATATTTGATGCCCTAAAGTTAAAAGTGAACACAATGTTAGATCAGGACAAGCACTGTAGTATTTGTATTGATGAAATGTCTATTAAAAGTAATTTATTTTTTGATACAGGTCGTGATGAGATTGTTGGTCTATATGATATAGGAAATGGAACAAAGGAATCAATAATTGCACAAAATGTACTTGTGATAATGGTTCGAGGCTTATATTCAAATTGGAAACAACAACTAGCATATTTTTTTGTAAACACTACCATTGAAGCAAATCATCTTCTTCCTATTATAAAAGAATGTATTTCTAAACTATTTCAATCAGGTTTATATGTGAATTGTCTTGTTACTGATATGGGAACGAATTTTCTAAAATTGAGTAAATTACTGGGGATTTCTCCAACTAACTCAGAATTTGATGTCAATGGACAAAAAATTATTTATATATTTGATCCATGTCATTTAGTTAAAGTCACTAGAAATAACTTAATTAATAATGTTTTTTATTTTGATGATAAAAAAACATCTTGGTCATTTATAGAAACTTTTTATCATGAAGATAAAAAGCAGTTCTATAAGTGTGCACCAAAACTAACACACTCCCATATATATAATATATATATATATATATATATATATATATATTATATATATATATATTATATATATATATCCTACATCTTTTGAAAAAATGCGAGTAAAACTAGCATCTCAAATTTTAAGTAACACTGTTGCAAGTTCTATGTATACATATATTTCTCTTGGTATTCTTCCATCAGATGCATTGGGAACAATAGAAATTATTGAAAAATTTAATAATTTGTTTGATATTTTAAATTCTACTGATAACAATAATCCTAACAAATTTAAAAATGTATTTGAGGGAACTGATTTTCAGATCAATTACCTAGATTCTATGATAGATTTGGTACATAAACTGAAAATATTAGATAAAACAGGAAAAGATGTAACATGTTGTTCGCGATCAAAAAAGTGTTAGATTGTAACAATGAATGGTGTTAAAAAGCTTTGGGATAACTTAAAGTCTCATGATTTTAAATACTTAAAATACTTTAAATGATAAAAGCCTATCTATTTGAAAGACCATTTTATTCAGTAGAAGAGTTTCTTAATTAATAACTAAGAAATTACAATATCTTAATGTACAGTTCCATGGTTCTTTACCCGTGGGTCATCATTACCCAAAGTAGCTTAAACTTATTAGTTCCTACGGTTGATTATGCAATTTGTTATTGTCTTTTTCCTCTGAGTCTTTGTAAGCTTCGTCCATAAAACTGTAAAATTTTCAATGACAATAAAGCATATATTTCTATTCTATTCCCATCCGGGTTATGTTTATCCATGCTTATAATGGTCTTTTAGAATGGGGCGGTATAAGGAATATTTACTTGCATTCTATAAACATTCAGAAGTGCTTAATTAGATTTTTTTGAAAAAGATTAAGATATTACTGCAAACTGTTATACAACGAGAATAAATTTTTAACTGTACGTAAATTGTCCTCTTACAAAGCTCTTATACATACATGACAAAGCTCTTATACACATACATGAAATAAAAAAGGATACTATTTTACATTAGCAATCATGCGCGTCAAACTAGATATATAAGGAATAATGCAATTTTATCCAAATGTAATAAATCCATACTCCAGAAATATGTTGGCTACATAGGGCCCAAATGATACAATTGTCTACCGGAGAATTTAAAACAAATTAAGAGTTATAAAAAACATGGATATCAGTATAAATTTAAACAATGGATTGGAAACAAAATAACACAATTCTGCGAAGAGCAGATTAATTGATCATAGTAATAAATAAAAATATCGAAATATACCTTGTTTACCAACTACAATGTTTCTTGAATTTATTGATATATTTATGTCACATGCTATATTAAAATGAATGTATTTTTGTAAGTGCGCATATGTAACTGTTTATATTAATACATTTGTTAAATATTTGCTTTCTTGCACATATATTTTTGAAGTATCACACACAAGGGGTGCTACTTTTATGGTAGCTCTATTTCAGTGATTTTTCATATTTATTTAGTGTTAAGTATGCTTATTTTTTGTAAATCTATATTATAATCTAAGCTTCCTAAATAAACATTATTATTAGTATTAATTACAATAAATTTCTATTATAATTATTGTGTTTTATTACAATTTTTTACCCCTCCCTACTACAAATGTGATATATCCAGGCGAATTGAATGTAGTACTGTACAACCAGAAGTTTCAGAGACCTTAGATGTACAGAGAGAGAAATCAAAGAGGTATACATGTATATTAATTACAATAAATTTTTATTATTCTGTTTTATTACAACTTTTTACCCTTTCCTACCATAAATTTGATATGTCCTGGCGAGTTGAATTTACTACAATACAACCAGAAGTTTCAGAGACCTCAGATGCATAGAAAGAAATCTAAGGTCATTTTATATACATTCATTCTAGCCGCAGCTGCAGAGTTTTTACGCGCAGCGAAAATATCGTGGTGTTGGAGGTTTATAGATAATCACATTCAAAGAAATTCCTCAACAGGAAACAAAAAAGTCAGCAACTTAAGACAAAGTTAATAGAAATTTCAAAAGTATAATTCTGTATTGATAAGTAAAAAAGTCTTGAGTCAAAATATAGATTTTGAGTGATGAAGTGTTTTATTAACCTTAAAAAAACGATAAAAAGTAATAGAAATCAAGCTTTTCATCTCTATTTTAAAATTAACTCTCAAATTCAATCGGTTTTTTAACGTACTAAAATACTTTTAGTACGTTAATTTGTTTGTTAAAAAAAAAACAAATCGATATTTTTGACTTAACAACTTTTTAATTATCAGTTCAGAATTGATATATAAGTTATATTAAATTTTACAGAAAAAATAAAATTCATACAAAACAGATTACTTAAAAATGATTACTTCATTTCTCAGTGTAACTATCATTTACTACAGTTTTGAACGACTTCCTCACTACTTTTCTTCGTGTAATCAAATGTAGGTTCATTGCTACTGTCACTCTGAATTTCTGTCCTCCCAACATCAAAGGTTCCGACAAAGCTTTCGCTTCTGGTTGTGATTAGTGTTCTGTGATATTAGCAAACAAACGAAGCAGGTCGCATTCCGCTCGTTCGTACGTAGGTAAGGTATATTTTAGTTTGTTGTGAAAGTCCGTAGGAGGTTAACGTGAATCAAAAGCGGCGAAGCCGGTAGAACTTAAAAATGTTGCGAGCTATTAGAAATACGTTTAATGTTGTACAAAAATGTAATTACAGTGCATATGCTCTTCCTAAACCTCAACCAAACCCAAATGTTCTATATTCTGGGGTAAGTATTCTATTTTTGTTACATTGTGTAATTTTTTCTATTTGGATTTCTTTTTATAAAATTATTTCTACATACATATTAATTTTTTTTTCAAAAGTTAGTGGATGTCTTGATTTAATCACATATAATTATTTCACCAAAAATATTTGTCATATTCATCCATACAAGGGCATTAACGCAGTACAATTTTCTAGATACTTTTAAACCTTGAATTAGTTTTTTACAGATAACTACTATTTTTTATTTTTGAATTAACATGTTTATTTAAAAATAAATTGGCTCTTTTTACATGTAACTTTAATTTTTTTTTTTCATCCAGTATTTAAGATTCTTTTGGTTACTTTCCAGAATTATTTCTTCAAAACAGTTTTAAATTTTTGCTCTATCTGTTGTTTAATTTGAAATAATTCATCATCCTATATTATAATAATTTAGTCTTTTAGATAACAAATCTTCTCTTACTTTTTTACTGAATTATCTTTTCACTTGCTGACAATTCAAACATAGAAAGTTATAATTTTGGTTTTTGTATAATTTCTTTTTGTTTCTAATGAGCTACTGTGTTTCCTTCATACATTTATCTTTGCTGATAATTAAATTTTGCCTGCTGTTCAAATTGGGTGTGTCTTTAAGCTAATGGTTTTTATGTGAATAAATAATAGTTTAGGTTTTAAAAAAATATAAGTAACTGCAATATTTGCTCAACATATTATAATATCTTAAAGAATGTGCAATGAATGTTGAATTAAAGCTGCAATCTGTGCTAGGGACTTCTACATAGAATATTAATACATTGTTCTTTAAAGGTTTTACTTAATTAATATTGATATCTTGTTTTCAAAATGAAAATATTGGATTAATCACCTTTTTTATCTTTATAAATAAAAAAGGCAGTAAACCTTGTCTGGAGCTATATATAACAATTAATTTAATAATAAAATATTGATTACAGAAACAATTTAAATAATTAAAAATTTTAATCACTTATTTGAATGGAAAACAACACAGATTATTATAAATATCAAAATAAATTATCATTTTCATACTTCTTACAAAACTTTTACAAAAAGAGTTACTATGAATGTGCCTTTCTATTGATTTTATTTGTGTTAGTAAGTATAGATAGAATAAAAAAATCCTACCATAAGTATTTGTTTGTGTATCCCTTTGTTTTTCATATTTATAAGTTGTGGTTATATATGTCCACATATCTACAGTTTACAACTTCCGGTTTAGATAATAGAGGAATAAGTATTATTGAACTACATTATTCTATTAAATATACTATCGACTGCACAGGAATACTTGGTAAAACCTATCGGAGCTTGTAAAGTTGTACAAGTACATCATATCATAGGGAAGTACACTAATCTCTGATGTGAATAGGAATGAAATAATTAAAAATTGTTTAAAAAGAAGGAATATTAGTACTATTGAAGAATAGAAACTCTAGATATGCTACTATGAAAACATAATTATAGCAGAAAATTATGCTAGACATTGGTATATTGCTAGTGAACAAAAAAATAATCTCAGTGGACTATGTGGAATCAAATTATCAGGCCATGGAAAAATTGAACAGAAATACCACAAGTAATATGACAAACAAACACAATTTAAACAACATATGCGACATCCAAGATTTCGGCTTCCTTAAGTTGTAGATTTTTTTTTTCTGATGGGAATCATTTCAATATTAATAATCAGATTTTTTTTTATTTTTACAATGGCTTGTGCATTTTTGTTTTATTTTCCATTTATTCTTTTATTTCATGGTTTATCCATTGTTTATTCAATATGTTTGATTATACTATTTTTTATCACTTCCTATAATATGTCATTTTTCTTTTCAAAGATGCTTAGTCATCCTTCTCGTCTTAATGTCAAAATGGTTTTCTAAAGTATGCCTTACTATTGGTTTATTATGGAAAATATTTGTATATGTAGTTGAGATCATTTTGAAAAAAAATGTTTATTAGCACTTTTTCTGTAGAATGAACTCTCGAAAAGTGCTTAATAAACATTTTTGTTCAAAAATGTCAGCTACATTTCTTGTTTGAAACATTTTTTTCTATGATATACAGATTCTTGGTAATCCAATATTTTTCGTTCCTCCTCTCACTACAAGAGGGTTTTAAGGAGAAGTCCGAAGGTAGGAGTGGCAAACTTTAGCAATTTTTTTAGGATCACAGAAGCAAAGCTTGTTCAACTTGTTGAACAACTTGTTCAAGAATTCAGCTTGTTCTTATGTTTTTAGAGGTTCAGTGGCATTTTGTCTCTGATCATTGGACTATTTGTTCAAATATTTATCTAACTCTTCTACAGAGAACAAGAACTGTTAAATAGTCTAGTTTTTAATAAAATTCAGCTAATCGCGTTCACTGCTAGTCATAGGCCTCCCTTAGTATCTTCCAATGTGTTCTCACTAAGTCCCTTGCTCAGTGTCACTTTAGCATCATGATTTTTTATGTTCCAATGCGCTTTATTTGTGTCAGCTTTAAAGTTTGTGCCCAATATATTTGTATGTGCAAAATAAATTGGTTATAAACCTTTCTCTTGAAATACATGTGTATTGAATTTCTTAGAATATGGCTTAATTTCCCAAATGCTGACCATTTTAGGTCTATTCATTTTTGTACTTGATGTGTTTGATTGTCCCTGTTTTATTTTGGTTTCGTGTCCAAGATATTATTGTCTGATTGTTTGTGTTAATGCCATACCTTGATATTAAGTGTTCTTACATATTGACTCTAGAGCTGCTGTCAACAATTTTGGTAAAATATTGTCATCTTGTTTTACTTCACAATTTGTGAATTTTTCACAAATATTTTATGTAGCATTTTTGTAAATATTTCTGATTTGAGACATATACATGTAATCTATTCAGCTTTGTTTTAGTGCTTCCAGTACCGTTTCACACTCTACAAAATCAAAAGGCCGTTTCGTAATTGATAAATGCAAGTATAAGAGGTATGTTGTACTCAGAGCATTTTTTAATTAGTATCTTTATGCTATGCAAATGGTCATTCGAGTTATATCTTGCTCTGAAAATCTGCCTTTTCTTTCTTTTCTGATAGAAATAAAGTTTAGTTATTAGTCTCTTTGTTAAAATTTTCATAAATAGTTGGTACATATGTATCAAGAGGCTGATGGAATTGTTCCAATTTTTTGGAATTGTATCTTCATGTAAACATTTATTAAAAAGTTCGCTTACTGAGTTTAGTAAGATTTCCTTCTGCTTTTATTGTCTCCATAAATTTTTTTTTCTTTCCTTCTGTTTTCTGAAGTTCCTCTGACTTCTGACATTCTAGTGGGTAAGAGTGCTTCAGAAGACAGCAGAGTATTGGAGAGCAGAAATTAACCTCGAACTGCACTCCCACTATTAATTGATGACTTTAATTTCCTGTATTTCAATTTCAATAACAAGATGTACTCTAGTTTACCTTCAACAATACAACAGAGAATAGGACAAGTATATAAGTAGTACTTAGCTAATATAGGCTTGGAAAAATATAAGTGAATATTGTGAAGAAACATTGAAACAAACCACCAATATTCTAAACAAATTTTAACATAAAACAACTACATGATGACTTAATTAAACAATTATATCCATACAAATTAGAACGAAACAGGGGACACCAAAAGCTTAGCCAGGAGAAAGGTATATAAAATTTAGTTGGCATCTCACAGCATGTGGAAAGTCGCTCTTTGCAGGTTCACGTCGTCGGCAAAGAGAAACGGAAACGGAAGATATATATATATATATATATATATATATATATATATATATATATCCGGTTTTTTAGGCGTTACGCCTGTCCGGTAGGGATCTATGGAGGAGTATCACCAAGCCGCAAGCCCTTATCTCTTGCCGTACTGCTCCACCATAGGCCGATCAGATCCCAGCATATCCTAGTTATATATATATATATATATATATATATTATATATATATATATATATATATATATATATATATATTATGAATGCTATCTTCATTTTGAGTATCATTGTCGATAATATCTTCATTTGAATCATCAATGCTACTTCCACTTTTCATCCATTTTACTTCTTCTTCTGAGCTAGACACCACAAATGTAACTATAACAATAAGTCTTATTGTTGTGTTCGTCCTTTTTAGTTCTCGTTGTCATTTCCGCTGTTCTTTTAATTTTAGCTATTCTAGTGTTGCTTATTTTTTTAATTCATAACGAAGCACCCATTTGTCAGATGTTATGGCACTTGGAGTGTACTCTTTTTTTCTTTTTGCAGATGTAAGTAGGTGTTTGACTTGGCCATGGAACAATGTCATTAACCCATTAACTGCCAAGCAAAGAAATACTGCAATAATATGTAATATATTTTATTAACTAAAATAGGGTAAAATAAACTTAAACATTCGTAAAAAAATTGTTTTACACTTTGATACTGACAGGTGTCACAACAAAAAAATGGTTTGTTTTCGAACCTTTGGCGATACTGAGATAAAAAAATTGAAATATACAAATTTATTTTTTGTAAAAAAATTCAAAACATTTAGAGTGTAAATGGACTTGGCATTTTTGACAAACGAAAACAGTATGATTAGAACACTGCCTGCATCTTCTTACATTTTCTACATGCTTTATCACTAAGTAAATAACCTATCTTATCTTTTCGGATTTCATCTGGTGAACTATTTTTCGACGGTCTGCACACGTTTATTGTCAACGGTACAGTTGACTTTTCATCTTCTTCATTCTGTTTCGATTCTTCTTGTTGTTCATCTTCCGATTTCATTAGACAAACAACAATATATGACCGAAAATCGATTTGAGAAATGGAACTTTTATTTGCCAACCTGTAAAGATTCCAGGGATTTACAATGGAACTATCAATAAAGTTTTCAAAAAGTGGCCACCACCATTTCTTTCCTCGTACAGCAATCCTGTAATTCGCAATGCCGTTGTCATGTAAGTCAACGCCGCTTATACATCTATTGTATTCTTGGATAACAT